GCTTATGGATAAATATCAAAACTTTTACCCTGATAATATCATGGTGGGATCCCTGGGTGGCGCAGCGGTTTAGCGCCTGCCTTTGGCCCAGGGCACGATCCTGGAGACCCGGGATCGAATCCCACGTCGGGCTCCCGGTGCATGGAGCCTGCTTCTCCCTCTGCCTATGTCTCTGCCTCTCTCTCTCTCTCTGTGTGACTATCATAAATAAATAAAAATTAAAAAAAATATCATGGTAACAGAGACTGTACCTCCTTTCCAAGTGTACATGGGACGTTCATGAAATTGATGTTAGGCTACCAAAAAAAACCCTCTGTGTTTTCCATATTGCTTATTCGAACAGCATACTTTTTGCATCTTTTCCCATCTTTTAGTTAAGTATAATCTATGCACAACAAAAGCACTCATTTCGTGTACAGGTTAAAATGCATTTTGACAAATCAATATATCCAAGTAACCATCACAACAATTAAGATATAGAATATTTCCATAATCTCTCCCCCCCCCCCCGCCAAATTCCTTTGTATCTGTACACAGCCAACCTTCCACCCAACCTCAGGCGATTAATGATTTCCCATCAGTATAAATTAGTCTTTCCTAGAGTTTCATATAAATGGAATCATATAGTATATATTCTTTTGTGTCTGGCTTCTTTTGCTCTACTTGATTTTAAGATTTATCTATGTTGCTGTATCAGTTCATTCTTTTTATTGCTAAATAGTATTCCATTGTGTGAAGGCACCACAATTTATCCATCCACTTATCCATAGATACTTGGGGTTTCCAGTTTTTATCTTTTATGAATAAAGATAATATAAACACTGTGTACAAATCTTTGTGTGAATATTGTTTTCATTTCTCCCGGGTGTATCTCCTAGGAGTAGAATTACTGGGTTGTGCAGTCAGTGTATTCTCCTATCATTTCCAACTGTTCTGTGTCATTTTATTTTAGGTGTGTTTTGTAATACCACACAGCCACAAGATTTTAAAAATATCCAACCTGTATATTTGTCTTTTAATAAGAAAACTTACCTAATCACATTCATCATGACTACTGTGAATTTGTACTTTTCTCTACCATCTTACTTTCTCTATTTTATCATTATTTCTTCTTCCCTCCTCTCTTCTGCATTTTTTTCTTTTTTGATTTACAGATAGCAAAATATGCAAATCTCCAGTGATTCAGTTCAATGGGTTTTGACAAAACCTATTTTGTTCTTTGAGTTTTTAAAATAATTCAGTTTCTCTTCCCATTTCTTCTTTCTGACACACATCCTATATTAGTTAGGATTAAGTTTGACTATACAACCAAAGTAAAAACCAAGGCAGCTTTTCCAATGTATTGCCAAATCTGATCACTGAGTTTCCAACTTTACATTACCCAACGGCTCTCCCACAGAAAAAGAAAGCAACTCTCCAGTAAACACTCTGGGTAAGACTATTTCACTTGAGTTTGATCTCCCAGGTTTGAAATAAGAACAATGGCAAAGGGAATAAGGATAGTCTGATTGGTCCAATCAGGAAGATGAAACATCCATACTATGTGCTGGGGTAGGAGTGAGCCACAATCCAGTCCTGTAACAATGGTTTTCTCCGAAGAGGAATTCTGTTAGCAGAGAAGGGAGGCTAGGAAAAGAATTATTTTCAGAACTTTTTCTATCCATATATGTCTATTACCATACACAATTTTGTAATTTTGTTGTTTTAAAAAAAAAAGGAAAACACTTATCACACCATACTTAATTGTTCTACAAGTTGCTTCTTTTTCTTAACATTACTAAGTAGTATAGCTCTTATTAATTGTGGTAAGACATAAAAATAACCATTTTAGCCATGTTTAAGTGAATAGTTCAGTATCGTTAAGTACATTTACAATGCTGTGCAACCAATCTCCATAATTCTATTTTGGAAGACTGAAGCTCCATCCCCATTAAACTTCCTATTCCCCACTCCCTCCAGCCCCTGGGAACCACCTTTTTACCATGTCGCTATGAATTCAGTTATTGTAGGTACTTCATGTAAGTAGAATCCAGTATTTGTCTTTTTGTGACTGTCTTACTTCACTTAGCATAAACGTCCTCTACGGTCATCCATGTTAGAGTATGGGTCAGAACTTTCTTCCTTCTTAAGGCTGCACACTATTTTATTATACGTATATACCACATTTTGATTACTCAAATAGTCATCTGTTGATGGACACTTGGATTGCTTCCACTTTTTGGTTATTGTGAATAGTGATGCTGTAAACATAGGTGTGGTGTGCAAGTATCTCTTTACGATCCTGTGTTGATTCTTTTGTATACACTCCGAGTGGAGTTGCTGGATCATATGGTAATTCCATTAATTCTTCCAGGAACCACCATTCTGTTTTTTCTTTTCTTTTTTTAAAGATTTTATTTATTTATTCAGAGAGAGAGAGAGAGAGGGAGACAGGCAGAGACACAGGCAGAGGGCGAAGCAGGCTCCTCACAGGGAGCCGGATGTGGGACTCGATTCCGGGTCCCCAGGATCACACCCCGGGCTGCAGGCGGCGCCAAACCGCTGCGCCACCAGGGCTGCCCGCCATTCTGTTTTCTTTTTTCTTCTTTTTTAAAGATTTTATTTATTTATTCACAGAGACAGAGAGAGAGGCAGAGACAGAGGCAGTGGGAGAAGCAGGCATCATACAAAGAGCCTGACGTGGGACTCGATCCAGGGTCCCCAGGATCATGCCCTGGGCTGCAGTCGTTGCCAAACCTCTGCGCCACCAGGGCTGCCCGCCATTTTGTTTTCTATAGTGACTGTACTATTTTATATTTCTAACAGTGCACAACAGGTTTAATTTCTCCACATCCTTGTCAATTCTCATTATTTATTTATTCTCAATAGTAGCCATCTGAATAGGTGTGCAGTGGTATTTCATTGTGGTTCTGATTTGCATTTTCCTAACAATTAGTGATGTTAAGCATCTTTTTATACGCTTTTTTGATCATCTGTATGTCTTCTTCAGAGAACCATCTATTCAAGTCTTTTGCCCATTTTAAAATCTACTTCATTCTTTTTAAATGCTCAGGACATATATACTTTAAGAATATGGGATTGAACTGCATGGGTCAGGTTTCTTTTGGTACAGTATTAGAAACATATTTGCTCTTATGATTTTCTTCACATTTTCTTTTCTCTAGTTTATGCTATTGAAAGAATACAGTATATAACACATATAATACATGTAACATTCAAAATATTCATTCATTGTTTACGTTACCACTAAGACTTCCAGTCACAAATAGGCTATTAGTAGTTAAGTTCTGGGGAACAAAACTTCAACTATGTGGGGCATCAGCTCCCCTAACCATTGTTCAAGGGTCAACTGTATAGATGTAACTATATTAAGATTCACTTGATAGAAGTTTACATTCTTCTCAATCTTTCTCTACTATAAACAGTGGTGCAATAAGATGTTTCTAGACACTTCCTTGTACTCGTGTGAATGTTTCGTTACACATTTATATTATACTTATTCACTTATAATACATTAACCACGTATTTTAAGGAAAATCACCTGCATAATACCTATAAAAACCAAAAAACAGAATTGGGCTCCTTGGATATCTGTAATTTTTATTTTAATGGCTCCTGCCAAACTGCTGTCTAAAATGGTTATATCTATCTGCACTCTTCTTAGCATCGCATAACTACTCATTTCTTCACACTCCTATTATGTATACTGGAAGATCTTTTGGCCAGCCACTTGTCTTAATTTTGGGGGGTTGCCTTGCACAAATCTAGTTTTAATATAGTCACACTTACCAACCTTTTTTTTAAAATGGTTTTTACATTCTCCATCTTATTTAAGAATTCCATCAAAAAATTATAGGCATTTTTTGGTGTTTTTTTCCTAAGACTTCCATTGCTTAGAAGAAAAAGTTTAGATCTTTGATCCACTTGAAATGAATTCTCATGAAGGATATGAAGTAGGAATACTAAAACTTTTTTGAATGGATAGCCAACTCGTCACTATGATAATAATCACTGACACTTACTGAACAATACTTCAATTGTCATGTACTATTTGATTTCATCCCATCTTATCAGGCTTGTTGTGAGGATCGGAAAACACATTTTAAAGAGGGAGCAAGGAAGGCACCAAATGGTTACATACCGTGCCCAACTCATACAGATAGTAACTGGTAGAATCAAGATTCTAACCCCACTAATGGGGGGGGAGGGTTACTAGTATTACTAGAATTACTCCATACTATTTGGCCTTCCAACTTCCAAAAGTTTCCTTTTCCCACAGATTTGAAATACTACCTTGATAATACACCAACTTGCCATAAATATATTGGTCTGTTTATGGACTTTCTATTTATTTCAATGATCTATTAGTCTATCCTTACACTACCTTCTGATCATTTAAACTATGTAATCCGATCCTGTTTTTCACCTTAGTTAAAATTCTAATAAGCTCCAATTGACCTCACAATCAAGCCCAAACCCTTTAGTATGTCATATAAGGCCCCCTCTTAGTCCACCTCCTCCCTCGGAGCCTCAGGTGTGGTACAGATCTCTTTTCCTTATGTTCCAGTAAGAAAAACCTTCTGGTAGCTGTCTGGGCAGGCCAAGCAGCCATTCCATGTCTCCACACTTTTGTTCATATGCCTCCTATGCTAATTTTCTTTACTTCACATATTAGGCAAGCACCTATTTGTTTTTTTTTTAATTAACTAAAAAAAAATAATAAATCAAATTAACTCAAATATTACTACCTTTAGCCTATCTATTTTCCCTCCCCATTCCCACCAAGGAGAAAGAAATCCTTCTTTCCTCATACACAGGTCTATTGCCTATATAGTTTTAATCTGCCATCACTACATTACCATATTTATTCATATACATGTTTCTCTTTTCCCCTATTATAATATGAATGTCTTGCGAGCAGGACCATACCTTACTAAGTACGTAATATAACTTTAATAAATGTTTGTTGAGTAAATGAATATAAAACAACAACCATCAAATTATACAAGCAATCATCTGATTTATAGAAAGATGCAACAATACTTAAAATGATACAAAATACTGATTTCAAAACATCAAAAAATGAATATATTTAACCATACTCAGCTCGTAACAGAGCAAATGGGTAAGAAGAATAATTCATACTATAGCATATTGCTAATATGAACTGGCAACAGAAAAAGTTGGTATAAGAAGACAGAAAAACTATCTTTTAAGAATTAGAACCGAGGGGCTCCATAATCATCTGGCATCCGCTCAATGTTGTACCTGATCAGAACAAAAAATTAACACTGGTAAGAAAGATGGGTCCAGAAACCACCTAAAAACCCATCCTTTACTGCCCGCAACACTTTCACCTCCCCATTATGAATCCTTTTTGTCAGTGGGAAAATTTTAAAGGGATATCATAACAAATGATTTATAGCAAAATGCTTTTAATATAGTATCTTTATTTTTCAAAGCCAGAGAGTTAACAAGTGAGGGAGCCAGGCACTGAGTCCAGATAAGCCCAATTTCTCCCAGCCCATATTCTTCCCACTATATTGTATTCTTCCCAGGTTGAAAAGTGGGGAGTCTGAGCACTGGTATGAGAACATCCAAACAGGGTAAAGACCAGCTTTTTTTTTAATAAGCTTTTAGTTTCCCAGATGAGGTGCTGATCACATATACTAAGCTTTGAAAAAAAAAGATATTTCTGGCCAAAAGATTAGCTTAACTTAAATTACTGCTTTGTATTTAAAGCTACACATTTTGAGACACCTGAGTGGCTCAAGTGGTTGAACGTCAGCCTTTAGCTCAGGTCGTGATCCTAAGTTCCTGGAATGGAGTCTGCATCAGGCAGCAACAGGGGGCCTGCCTCTCTATGTCTCCCATGAATAAATTTTTAAAATCTTAAAAAAAAAAAAAAAAAGCTACACATCTGTTTCTTCTAGTGATCTTACTGCAACAGTGGGAGTGTCTGCCTCATTTCCAAGTCCTAGCTTTATCTTTTGTCCTTGTTCTTGTTCCTCTCATTTCTTCAAATACAACTATGCGGGCATTTGATACAACAATCGCTTTCAAATTTTCCCATAACCTGACCTCATTTTTAATTGACATCAGCTATATACTTTTAATTACTTCCCCAAGAGACAGTTCTCACCTATGGTTAGAAATGTACATGATGGGAACTCCAGGGATCTTCCGGATCCTTCGTTTAAGGTCCCGGTCAACTGTGGCCACAATGTAACACTTGTGCTGTAAAAGATACCCATTGAGTGTTCATACTTTAAGTCTACTTAGTGATACTGAATAATAGTACACTGGCTAATCCGGAGAATTATTCATTTTCACAGTAAATAGCAAAGGAAAGGTTATAATAATTTATTGAATACCTACTATGATCTAGGAGCTCATATTTATAAAACACAAACAAGTTGCCTCAGGGAATGTAGTTCTAAGAATCTTGAGGGGGAGAAGATAGAAAAACTATTTAAGAGCTGCAAATTGTTTTTTGTCTCATAAGTGGAAGGGACTTTCACATTTAGAGCAGATGATTTCTTGGTTTTGGGAAACACCCCCAAAAGACTATGCAAAGGCAGAGTAAATGCCTTAGATCAGAGGGTACAGCTTTTACCTTTCCAGGAATCTCTGGGCTTGGGCCTACCCTGAGACCTTCTAGTGGCAGAGGTAGGCTACTTCCTTGGCAATGAAGCCAGAATGGATCTCCAGGACAAGTCTGAGTCTAGCAGCTCTGAAGGCAGTAGCATTTAGTTGCCAGTCGTTTCATGTTTTACTTGTCATACCCCAATCTCCCATTAAGTTTTGAAAAGATTCATAACCTGGTGTCAGCTGTGCTGTGGGAAAGTAAGGCAAATGTTATCTCTACCCATGGAATGGAATGGCTTAAGAGATGGGAGCGTGGTCATCAAATGAAGATGATTATCCTTAGCAGGGAGAGGCTATAATAAGGGTAATCAAGAGCAGAAGTTCTTGTGGTGCTTGACAAGGAGGCCAGAACAGAAGAATCAAAAACCTAGTTATTCCAGGGTACTAAGATAGCATCCTGGGAGACTCAGATGTAACTGAGAAACACTTTTGCTTAGGCATGGTGGAGAGGAACAAAATTCCTCCATGAGGAATATGGAAATAGATGATTTCTAATTCACAGGGAGGTGAAACCGATATTATATGTACACTCACAGCATTTTATATAAATGATTTGTGGAATAAGGATCAGTAAGTGCCCCACATCACATACCCAGTAAATGCAGGTGCTGAGATTTGAAACCCATGTCTCCTCCCCAAGCCTATGATTTTCCCATTAAAGTTACAGTATACATTTCCAATCCACTTCCTCAAGTACAAGAGGCATCTATGCTTCCTGTGAAGCACAGAGTAAACATTTATAAACTGATGATACCTGAGTTACTCTCTGTACTAAGCAGTCATCTGCATAGGTTCCTTTGTGTGTGCATGGCAATCGTTCAAATCTCGGATCCTTGGCAATCCTAAAGGGTTACAAAACTGGATTAATGACAACATTCAGGCAATGGGATAACTTTCTGACTCTTGATCTGTGAAATAAGAATGACTTGACCTATGTGGAGATTTTAAGGCACCCACCCCTCTCCTTCTGCACCTTATCTTCTAATTGGAAAGACACCTAACAGAGAAGAGAACGAAAGCTTACTGACCGACAGCTGGTGTGCCTTAGGTCATATAATCTTTACAGAATTCTGAATTACTATGTTTCCAATTTACAAATGAGAAAGCAGATTCAGAGAGATTAATTAATTGTACTTGTTCAAAGTATACAGCTGGGAAAAGCTAGGATTCAAAATCAATTTTAACCCAACCACTTTGCTTTGGGAAGCTGTCTTACACAAATGTGCAACACATGCATGAGGCTGGCCAGTATTATAATAGTGAAAAACTGGAGATAATCTGAACACCCATCATCAAGGTAAAAGTTAAATATATTTTGGTGTCCCATCTTGTTTTTTAAAAAATAAGTACAGCTGTCTACCAACATGGAAGGCTTGCTGAATAAACAAACTCAAAAAATTCACAGTTGGGATCCCTGGATGGCTCAGCGGTTTAGTGCCTGCCTTCGGCCCAGGGTGTGGTCCTGGAGTCCCAGGATTGAGTCCCATACAGGCTCCCTGTGTGGAGCCTGCTTCTCTCTCTGCCTATGTCTCTGCCTCTCTCTCTCTGTCTCTCATGAATAAATGAATGAAATCTTAAAGAAAAAAATTCAAACTGTTGAATAAAAAAGTCATTGAACAATATACATATATGATTCAAATAAGAAAACATAAATCTCTTTCATTTTCTTTCTCTACATTTCCATTTGCTTAGAAAAAAAGGCCTGGAAAAACATATACAAACTATACACTAACCCTTCTCAGTTATCACCATTAGGGTAGAAGAATGGACAAAGTTGAATAAGCAGGACTTTTACTTTTTGTTGTATATATATATATATATATATTATATATATATTTATATTGTTTGCCATTAATAAATGTGTTATTTTCCTACAAATTTGAAAAAAGTCCCAAATCTGTGATTTCCAGAGCCATGTTCTTCCTATTACATAACGATGATGAATTACAAACTGAATAAAAATACAAGGCATCACATAGGTACCAAGTGCAAGAAAAATACTCCATATTGTAATAGTTCAGAGCTAAGTCACTGTGGATTTAGTATGTATACTTAAAAAACAAAATTATATGGAGGTTAAATAAAATGAATACAAAACAGTATTCCCAAAAAAAGTGAAGGCAGGCATGTTCCAAACAGGGCACCAAACATCTATAAAATGGCTCAAGGGTGTGAGGGAAGACCAAACACATGTTTCTGGAGGGAAGAAGAGTGTTCGTGCAGAGGACAGTGAAACAGGGCTGGGAAGACAGAACTTTCTGCTGTGATATTGCCAAGTTGCTCTCAGAAGTGACTGTCCACCTCACATTCTTATCTGTTGAGTATGAGAATTCCATTGGTCCCCCGTTCAACTACTTGTGGCATTGTTAAATAGACTTCAATTCTTGCCAGTCTGCTAGGTATGAAATGATTATCTCCTTGTGAATTTAAGGGTTTTGTCTTTTTCTTATGGATTTGTACTTCTTTATATATTTTGAAAATAAGCCGTTTGTTGATTATATGCATTACTAATATCTTCTCACTATCTGTGGCTTCTTGTGTTGCTTTCTTTATGCTATCTTTTGTACCACAGTTGTATTCAATATAGTCAGATTGATTAGTTTTCTATTATGGTTTGGACTTCTTCAGAAAGCTCTGCCCACTCCAAAATCACTAAGATATTCTCTATATTTTCCACAAAAGCCTAGATACTTAATCTACCTTGAACTGATTTTTGTGAAATAGGTAAAATAAGAATTTAATTTTCTTTCCACAGTAATAATCAATATTTTGATAGTTTATCACTTTTCCATTCAGCTGAACAATGCTCTTATACATTGGGTTCCCATTTTTCTTTGCCTTTAAAATAAGTTAGCTTTATTAGGTATAAATTAAATACAATAAAATTCACTGGTTATACATGTAAAATTTGATGAGTTTTGACAAATTTATATATCCATATCACTATCTCCACAATTGAGCTATAGAATACTTCCATCACTACAAAAAAGTTCCCTGTATCCCTTTGCAGTTAATCCACTTTTCTCATCCTCAGCTCCAGTTAACCACTATATTCTATTAGTATAGCTCTGACTTTTCTGGAATTTCATATAAATGGAATCACACTTCTGGGATGACAGAAATGTTCTATTTCATGACTATGATGCTGATTCCATAACTGTACACATTTGCCAAACCCATCAAATTATACAAATTCAGTGAATTTTTTATTTTCATTATTTAAAAAAATATTTTATTTAAATTCAATTTGCCAACATATAACGCCCAGTGCTCATCTCATCATGTGCCTTCCCTCATGCCTGTCACCCAGTTACCCTATTCCTTTCCCACCCCCCCAGTCCTCCCCCTCCCCGCAACCCTTTGTTTGTTTCCCAGAGTTAGAAGTTTCTCATGGTTTGTCTTCCTCTCTAATTTTTCCCCACTCAGTTTCCCTGGTGAATTTTACAGTATGTAATTTACACCTCTAAAAGGTGACACACACACACACACACACACACACACACACCACAAATTCACTGGTACATCTTGGACCTCGAATGAATCTTTTACCCACGCATGATTTTGTAATAGTATTCAATGATCATTTGGAAAATACCAATTCGCTGAATTACACAAATCTTCCAAATTTCTTTATACAGTAACAAAAAAAATCATACTCAGTATCTTCACTGGTCTCAACAGAAAGGTCTTTAGTATTGGGAATGTGATAAATTCATGACTTTTCAAAACTCTAATTTTTCACTTGGAAGTTTGAATTTTATCATTGGTAACTAATACAGTTGTTTTCCTTTAAGTAACAGATTCACTGCATTAATTTTTGAGAAACTATCTGCTAAATGCTAAAGTCTGAAAAATCAGTGTTTGTCAGTTATTTTTCACATAAAAATGACATTCCATGCAAAAGTAGCTGGTTTGGCTCATAATCCAAACAAGCACACACATGCTTTTCATTGAGGTAGGTTTCACTCTTGGGTAGCAGCAGAAGTGCTTTAGGTATACTTTACCCACTTCATCACAAGAATACCGATGTGTACTCTAGGGTCTATATTTAACAAAGTCAACAAGTGTTACTGCTTCATCAAGGATATTCTTAAGTGACTCTAGGTTGTTGTTTTTTTTTTAAAGATTTTTTTTTTTTAAAGTAATCTCTACATCCAATTTAGGGCTCAAATTTATAATCCCAAGATCAAAAGTTGCATGCTTTCCTGACTGAGCCAGCCAGGCACCCCTGGGTGGTGGCTCTTGTTTTTTTAACTGCCAGTGAATGTCAGTGAAGAATACAGTCTACTAGTATTATTTGGGTCCACTGCCTTTCTGCCATCAGGATAAATGTCAGCACAGTGACAACGACAACGTCTTGATATTATTATGAAAATAGTTTTGTGGACTTCCTGCAAAGGTGTCTGGGACTCAGAGGGGTCCATGGACCATACTTCAGGAACCACTACTTTTAACTCAAGTGTACTTTCTAGAGTAAGCTCAAAACTTAGAATGTGAATCCTTTACGTGTGAGATTCTAAGAGAGGTATCTAAATAACTAATAAAAAGACACCTTTCTAATTGAAAATCCAGAGGAACTTAAAAGAATTCCTACAAGACCAATATGACTAACTTCATTCAAAAAATTTCAGCTTAGGGGTGCCTGGGTGGTTGAGTTACACGTCTGACTTTGGTTCACGTCATGATCTTAGGCGCCTGGGACAGAGACCCATGGCAGGCTTTCTGCACAATGCGTAGCCTCCTTCTCCCTCTGTCCCCTCCTTGGCTCATTTTTTTTTTTCTCTCTCTCTCAAATAAGTAAAATCCAAAAAAAAAAAAAAAAACAAAACAAAAAACCACTTCAGCTTAAGATTCTCTAACCTCCAAATGTTTGCTTTCTTGATCATAAATTGTTACTAGTTTTGTGTAGTTTTTATTTAAACTAATTATCCAAGAAATCCTTGGACACTGAATAGATGAAGGAAGGTCAAAAGAAATCTTCAGTATACCAATCTAGACCAGCTCCTTCCTACCTTAGAGCCACTCGATACTTTTGCCCCAGTTTCTCAATTTCAGCCATTACACAGTCAGTTATACAAGGGATACCTGCCAGGAAAAAAAATACATATTAATGATAGAATTTGTGAAGGAACTGGTTTTACTCTCTCTGAATTATATCCCATTGAGAGTTTAAGAGACCCACGAGGCTTCCAGAATGACAGCAGAATAAGCATGCTGAAATGAACAACAGAACGAGAGGTGAATAAAATGCCTATTGATAAGGAAACTAGCGAACTGAACTATCTCAAACCCACAGATTCATAAAATGTCATGAATGTATCTGAGGGAAAATTTAAGCTGGATCTCTGTCATTCTTAAAATAAATTCTAGGTAGAAAAAATTTTAAGTGTGAACCAAAAGAATCCATGCAATTAATTAGGAAATGTAAATTTCATCACATAAAATAGAAAACTTCTGTTTGACAGCTACCAAAGTCATATTAAAATAAAAATAAACTAGGAAAAATATTTCTACACATTCATCAGAGGTCTAATTTTCTTAACATACTACAAAGAGCTTGTTTGTAATGAGTTTAAATTAAATGTTATCTGCCAGACACTGGGCCAAGCACTTTATGAGGATTATCTCACTTAATTTCAGAATAATTCCTACCAGGTAGCATTGTTATTATTAGCACCCCCATTTTATAGATCAGGAACCTAAGGCACAAAGAAGCAAGTAGAAGTAAATGGTGAAGCCAAGACTTGAATGGAGATTGGCAGTTACAGACTAGATTCTTAACCACCAATGGTATATTTCAGTTCATACACTTCAGGTCATAGAGAAGACATATAACAGTCAATGAGCATAAGGGTGCTCAATCTAAGCCTAATTAAAGAGATACAAATTGAAACAAGATTTTACTTTCTACCTATTCAAGAGGCAAAGATTAAGCAAGGAAAATACCCAATACTGAGGAAATAGGTATTCTCACACTAAGTTAGTAGGTGTACAAATGCATATTACTATTTTAGGGCAATTTTGCAATACCTGTTAAAATAAAATATACATATCCTTTTATTTTTATTTTTACATATCCTTTTATATTATAATACAGCTTCTAGAAATGTATTCTAAAGAATTATTCCACCCTAAGAGAGACATTCACATAGATATTCACTATAGAATTATTTATAATAGCAAAAACTGCAAGTAATCCAAATATCTAATAGGATATTCACTTTTAAAAATTATATAAATACTATGTAAACTTAAAAAAAATGAGGTCCACTATACATATTGACACAGAAAAATGTTTAAGACATATTTATATATATATAAAAAAGACATATTTGTGCAAGGGGCCCCTGGGTGGCTCAGTCGGTTAAGCGTCTGCCTTCGGCTCACATCACGATCCCAGGGTCCTGGGATCAAGCCTCGCATCAGGCTCCCTGCTCAGGGGGAAGCCTGTTTCTTCCTCTCCCTCTATCTGATGCTCCCCCTGCTTGTGCTCTCTTGTTCTCCCTGTCCCTCAAATAAATAAAAAACCTTTAAAATAAAGTTTTAAACTTTTATGTAAATGTAATGTACAAAATGTAACTGTAAAAAATAAGAAAAAAATGGATGAGTGAGATGTGATCCCAGCCATACAATGGAATGTTATTTGGTAATGAAAAGAAAGATATACTGATACATGTTTTAACACAGACGAGCCTTGAAAACATGCTAAATGGAAGAGAATAAAATATTATACAGTCTCATTTAATGAAATACCAAAATAGGGATCCCTGGGTGGCGCAGCGGTTTGGCGCCTGCCTTTGGCCCAGGGCGTGATCCTGGAGACCCGGGATCGAATCCCATATCGGGCTCCCGGTGCATGGAGCTTGCTTCTCCCTCTGCCTGTGTCTCTGCCTCTCTCTCTCTCTCTCTCTGTGACTATCATAAATAAATAAATTTAAAAAAAAAAAAAATACCAAAATAGACAAATCTATAGAAATAGACTGCAAATTAGTGGTTGTCTAGGGGAGGAGGATGGGAAAGGTTGGTGATGATGGCTAAGGGGTTCCGAGTTTCTTTTTGGGTAATAAAATATTCTAAAATTGACCTTGAATATGTTAAAAGTCATTGAATCATCTACTTTAAATGCTATGTGAATTATATCTCAAAGCTGTTAAAAAAGGCACAAAGATAAATAGTAAATTATCTATGATCCATTTTCATTAATAAAATAAACAAAAATAACCTATACTTTGCAGTTTGTATCTGAAGTCTTAAAGGGGATACCTGGGTGGCTCAGTCAGTTAAGCATTCGACCTTAGATTTCAGCTTAGGTTTGATCTCAGGGCTGTGAGTTCAAGCCCCACATTGGGCTTCACACTGGGTGTAGAACCTACTAGAAAAAATAAATAAATAAATAATAAAAATAAAGCTGTTCCTCTCTGAGCAAAGGTATTACAGGGAGCTTTAATGTTTTTATGCTATGCTGAGCGAAATAAGTCAACTAGAGAAAGACAATTATCATATAGCTTCACTCATATGTGGAATATAAGAACAACACAGAGGATCATAAGGGAAGGGAGAGAAACTGAATGGTAAGTCATCAGAGAAGAAGACAAACCATGGGAGACTCCTTTATTTTATTTTATTTTTAAGGATTTTATTTATTGATTCATGACAAACACAGGGAGAATGAAGCAGAGACCCAGGCAGAGGGAGAAGCAGGCTCCACGCAGGGAGCCTGATGCGGGACTCAATCCCCTGATTGCGGGATCATGCCCTGAGCCAAAGGCAGACGCTCAACCACTGAGCCACTGAGATGCCCCCAATAATGCTCCCAGGCGTCCCAGGAGACTCTTAATTATGGGAAACAAACTGAGGGTTACTGGAGGAGAGGTGGGTGGGGGGATGAGGTAATCAGGTGATGGGCATTAAGGAGGGCTTGCATCTAGAGTAGGAAAGTAGGCCAAGGAAGAGGACTATCAAGAAAGGAAAGGTAACAGAGAAAAGGACTCATGGGCAGAAAAGAAAGCTCATGGAAAGCTAACTGCCCTTACTTGTTGGAATATCAGGCAGAAATGGGACCAGGAGCTAAGAAAAGTCAAAAGGGCATCTTTAAAGGTCTTCCTTCATATAAAGGCAAGTGAGGAAAAATTAAATAGCTAAAGCTTAAAAAAGTTATGGAACCTCCTAGGTAACCGAATTTTGAATGTTTCTTCATCCTTTCCTTTGAAGTATTATTACACAGAAAACTGTAGAAAGTGGTATTTTCCTTAACAAGCTTGTTTTTATGTTTATGATTATTAGTTATTATTAATTATTATTATTTAGAGACAGGAAGGGGCAGAGTGGGAGGGAGAAAGAGAGAGACTTAAGCAGGCTCCATGCCCAGCATGGAGCCCAACATGGGGCTAGATCTCACAACTCTGAGATCATGACCTGAGCCGAAATCAAGAGTCCAACGCTTAACCAACTGAGCCACTGAGATGCCCCCAATAAGTTTTTAAAAAAGGCACAGTGAGAGCATTTAGCTGTATATATTATAACTGTACTCCTAGGTATCCATATCTAGAGAAAGCAATCCTCTAGGACGAAAGCTATCCTGAATAGTCACCATTTAGATAACAGTGATGGAACTATACAGTCAAGGAAATAATTCACCTTCAAAGGGCCATGCCTGAACCCTCCATCCATTTCATTTATAAGTAGGTCACAGCATTCCTAGATAAGCAGCTAGCACACTTTATTTATGGTTATAAAAAACACCACGGGAATACAAAGAGTCTACCAAGTTAAGTGTCCTCCCCCATCCAAGACCACCCTAGTCCACTCTCACAGGCAGGTAGTGTCCCAATTTCAGGTTACTCTTTATTATTCTACAAGCTTAAAAAAAATTAAAGTATTACATGTACATAGCTTAAAAAGATAAGGAAAAGTCTGTATGAAAAATTTACTGTTCCTTGATCCTAGCCCACCCCACCAATTCTGATTCTTAAAGAGCACTATTTTCCTTTATTAGCTATTTTTCTCATTTGGTGGTTACCTTCACATATTAATATAATTTAGCTCTCTTACTCATCACATTCCCTCCCCCATCTTCCCCATTTTAATAAATCAAAGCAACATTTATGTTACCATCACTCTATAAATGTTCATTATACAGCATCCTTTCAAAATTAAAGGAGGCATAAATTTTTTCCTTTTATGTATTCTTTATGGCAAAGTGAAGTTTAATTTTCATTTGTACCTTTAGATGACTGGAAAATAAACAAATGTAAAGCCATCACAAAATGCAACAGATCTCATTATTAGGAAGTGATTCTCTTATACATGGCCTAGATTTTCTTTCTTACTCATGGTAGTGAAGGAAGATCACTAAAGGAGGGAACCCAAATACAAGGGAAAACTACTAATGGTAAACTGCATACCTATGTGTAAACTACTTCTGGTCCTTTGTGGTACAAATAAATACCAAACTGAATAAATTTAGGAAATGTTAAAAAGCATTACTTCTAGTTCTGTCATCATAAATGGCAAAATATCTTATTTAGCTTTTCCACAATAGAGTGGAATGGAGAATGTTTCCTCCTTAATGTAAAAGAATATATATTCTTAAAAATGTAATACATTTTTATTACCCAGAATTTTAAAATCCAAAATTCTAAAACAAAAAATTCCCATCCTATTTCCAAAATTGATGTCCACAACAATAGTCAACGTAGGCTAAATGTTTTCCGAATTGTGAAGTTTAATTATTCCCAGTCAAGTCTGCATTACATTTCAATTCACTGAAAATCGTCATGGCTACTGTGAGCAAATTAAAGGACCAGAAATCCAAAAACTAGGACCCCACTCCCCTCTTTTCATGTATTTGGATAACTATAATTATTCTGTACAAATGTCAAGAGAAATGCAAAAGTATGATACTCACACTTGGCATACAGACAGTCCATCATTGACTGTACTAAGTCAAGTTTGGCTTTAATGGAAAAGTTGATAAAGTTGGTATCAACCAGGATGTGGTAAGGTGGGCCCAGCTGTGTGTTATATTGGAAGAATAAGCAGGAAGGATGTTGGGGGCTGAAGGAAGAAGACACAAAACAAAGTAATGTCTACACTGATACTTTGATATCAACATTGTAAATGAAGTCTCTACTTCAAACTGTTTGCTATAGATTAAGCTCCTTTTTCCTTATTCATTGGAAATAATCTTGAAAAAATCCTGTTATGATATATCCATTACCAATCTAGGGGAAAATGAGATAATAAGGAACATACACTGAAGCTTCAAAAAGTTAAGTGTACTTATTTAAAAGAAATGACCCTGAAATTTTTTGCTTACTATTTTTGGTGATACATTCTTCCTCAAATGCTGGTGTGTTAAACAATAACAATTGCCTCTTTTGAAAGATCTTTTGAAAGAAAAAAAATTAATAATTCTAGATCTAATTCCCAAGATCTTAGGGGAAATTTTACTGCTCCATGAAATCCAAAAACCTTCAAACCACTGGAATGGATACGTTTTCACTAGTATCACTCTCATTTGCATAGTTGTGCCAGACTTACAAATGACTGAGCAAATCAGCTCAGGGAAAGCCTGGATTTCTAAAAATTCTATGGTTCTAAAATGTCTCCTCCAGTTTCAAAGGAAAACTCGAAATTTTTGATTACTCACACTTCTCTTTCCTTGAGTGCACTGGGATCTTTCTTTTCTTTCTTTTTAGGTTTTAATCTATCCTTTTCTTTACTAGGAAAAAAGAAAGTAAATTAAATGCAAGAAAAAAATGAAAGAGAGAAGAAAAAAATCATAGCAGTTATAATCTTAATCAACATTTAAAGTTTCTTTCTTCTTTTTTTTCTTACAGAGGAAACTACTTTGTGATTTCTTCATGTTCATATCAATACACCCTTTTTAAGCACAAATAACTGTGTGGGAAGTAGGCTGAAAATAACATAATCAGTTAAACATAATGAAATTTAAAAATAGCCAATAATCCATACAAATTGTTAATTATATTAGTTAGTTATATTATCATTTTTCTATCAGAAGCTCTTCATATCAAGGATCAAAATCCACTTCAATGCAATGGAAAAACAGGTTGACATTTATCTTCTAAAGACTCAAACGCTCCAACAGTGGGGAGGAAAAAGATTCCTCCATATGACTCATAAGAGACTAAAATGTAAAACTATACACACAAAATTTAACCCTTAACTGAAAATAAAATATTATCAATGAAGCAACTTCCCTAAAAATTACATAATACATACTAAAGGCTGAGAATACAATTTGATAACTCTGAAGGCTGTTCCTTTGTTCTAAGGCTAATAAAGAAAAGAAAAGCTAGTTTTTTTTTTCTTTTCTCTTTCCTTCCTTCCTTTCTTTCTAAAGTAAACTCTACTAGGCTCAACCTGGGGCTTGGACTCACCACTCAGAGATCAACAGTGCTCTACTGATGAAGCCAGGCAGGTGCCCTGGGACCAGTCCTTATTTCCTAACTTTGTCTATTCTTCACCAAAGCAGGGAAGCTTACAATCGGGAATATCGTTCCACTCTCTCGCAGAGGTTTGGATTTTTATAAGATTTATAAAATGAAGACATCTAGGTGTTTTCCCATTCTTTCCTTCAAAACTATATAAGTGCTGTCTCTCTCTCTGTGTGTCTCTCATGAATAAATAAATAAAATCTTTAGAAAAAAAAAAGGGAGGGGGATCCCTGGGTGGCTCAGCGGCTTAGCGCCTGCCTTTGGCACAGAGCGTGATCCTGGAGTCCCCGGATCGAGTCCCACGTCGGGCTCCCCGCATGGAGCCTGCTTCTCCCTCTGCCTGTGTCTCTACCTCTCTCTCTCTCTCTTTCTCTTTGTGTCTCTCATGAATAAATAAATAAAATCTTAAAAAAAAAAAACAAAACTAAGTGGCAGGTGCTTGGGACACAAGACAAACATGGCCTCTGACCTCACCATCTTTCAACAATTTTATTTTTTTAAATTTTTATTTATTTATTTATTTATGATAGTCACAGAGAGAGAGAGGCAGAGACACAGGCAGAGGGAGAAGCAGGCTCCATGCACCGGGAGCCTGACGTGGGATTCGATCCCGGGTCTCCAGGATCGCGCCCTGGGCCAAAGGCAGGCGCCAAACCGCTGCGCCACCCAGGGATCCCTTTCAACAATTTTAAAAGGTATTTTTTCCCCTGGGGGGGGTAATATAAGTAATGTAATGGCAAAAACAAAGATATTCCTACCTACGAAACTGTTAGGAGGCTTAAATGTGATATGGTAGATAAAGTATATTAAAAAAGGCGGAACAGAGCGAACACTTCAGGAATGTTTAATCCCCATTCCCTTCCCCAGTGTAATTGCTCAGCATCTAAGTGGCTGTTACACACTTGCCTACTATGTTACGCTATATAAATCCAAGACACAATACATAATTTTACACGTAAACACAAAATAACAACAAAGCTTTTACTACTTATGCCCTCCTAACTTATATCTTTGCGTACAGCTTGATTCCAGATACTCACAGCCTCTGATCTCGGAGACTAAGCATTCGCTTCATGGTCGCATACTTTCTTGCTTTCTTTTGCTTCCCCTTGAAACAGAAATTTTAGAGTTAAAAGAACTGGATACATTGTATCTTCTTGAGTTTTTTATCTTCTTTTGTCCATTCCCTTCTCATCTTACTCAAATGACTCAAATGCCCAGCACTTCATCCTCTGTGCCCCCAACCTGGTTCTCCTCTCCCCACTCGGAAGAGTAGAACAGGCACCGCTGGGAGCAGTTTAAGAACCACAACCACGATGACAATTAGGGTAATACGGAGGAAATTTGGCTAAGGGACGACTGGCTCCATCTCCTCCCAAAGCGTGGTCCGACAAAGCCCTTTCTCCGACCCTCCTCTCACCATGTTCACGCCGCACTCTTGTTTCTTCCGGAATCACCGACTGCGCGACACTTTTGCGTCATCCAAATACTGCTTCCGGCAAAGGCTAGCCCGGAAGCGGAAGCCGCTTTGGGAAACGGAAGAGCTTGGAGCCGGTTCCCAGCCCGAACCGAGATCTGTACTGGGAGGATCTAGAGCCAGTCTCGTCCCGGGTGCTGCGGCGTCGCCCCGGGCAGCACTTCTGGGACTTCGCCTCGCTGCTCGGGTAAGGTTCCTCCCCACCACCGCTCTAGCTCGGAGCAGTGCCCCGAGGACCTTGCCTGCATCAGAGTTCCGGAGAGGCAGGACAGGGGGTCGGGGCGGGGGGACGGAATTCTGGGTTTTCCAGTACTTTAGGGAAACACATTCTCCTCATCCCTCAGCGCTGGGGGTGTCAGGTCTCTACGGTGCAGCTGGGAAGCTGTAGTGCCTACTCTGTTGTCCTAGCTGACACGGTGCTTCGTGCAGCTGGGTGCACGATTCTCACGATTCTCTCGAGTAAATACCGTGTACTTGTGTCGGTGCAGAGAGGGATGAATCATCGCCTACTTTAGACCATCTCTAGACAATTGGGGCATAAGCTTGCATATGTTACTAATTACCAAACTAGGAAAATGGCGAGGGCATAATTGACATTTATTGGAAAGCCTTGGTTTATTTATCACCCTTAATGGAAAAGGAATGGTTTTTGAGGATAAGAAGGGAAAGAGATTTTTTTTTTTTTTTTTTGAGTAGCCGCTGTGTACTTCGGTGGTTCTTAGCCTTTCGGAGATCAGGTACCCCTTGAAGGTTTGTGGACCGCCAGGGACGATTCTTTAAAAAAAAAAAAAAAAAAGGCTACATACAACATTTTTCATACAATTGATGAGACTCAGAGACTGAAGCCCGTCCGTGGACACTCTAGATGTCTGTGAACTTAAGAACCTCTATCTTGTATATGTACCTGGCACTTTAATTCTATTATCTTCTTTGACCTTCACAGTAACTTACGTATCATCCGTTTACATGTGGAATAGCCGAGGCTTGATACTGCCTAGCAGTGTGTTCGGGTTTGATTTGATTCCGAAGCCTGTGTACTTTTCATATTGCACAAAACTATTCTAATGTTTGAAATACAAAAAGGTTATTAATTTTTTTTTAAGCTGACTATTGCATAAAACACAGTGCATTGGTTAACATGGACTTTGGAGTCTGACTAATGGAATTAAACCCCTGCTCTGCCTCTTACTAGCAGTATGACATTGGGTGAATTAATCTATCTGTGCCTTAGTTCCTTCATCTGTAAAGTGGAGATATAATCTTAATAGTACCTGTCTCATAGGGATGTTATCAGGACTAAATGAATAAAAATGTGAAGTCCCTTGAACAGTGCCTACCACAAATAAACCCTATTAAAGTGTTTTCTATTATTAGTGTATGTGTTCCAACATGTGGTGACATTTGAATTTTATGCTGTTCGTATTTTAATATAGTTGCTGTGTTTTGGAACTTGAATGTGTTGATATCTTAAGAACCTTATGAAGTTTTCAGTTGAAACGCTCAGTTGCAGGATGATTTGTCATGTTGATTTCTGTATAAACACATTTCTTTCTTCTTTTTCTTTTCAGCTCATAGGTATTTAGATAGGTTTGTCGTTCACATATCTGACTTTGTAGGCTCTTGAGTTTTTGATGTTGAAACAGTTTTATTATTGAACCGTCTGCTGATAACATGTGTACCTTTTTTACCTCATTTGCGGTCAACAGTTCCTAATCTCATCAAAACAGCTCGTCTGCAAGCTGTCATTCATGGGTAGAACTGAGAGCAACCACTTTTTTGATGCATTAGAACCCCTTGGTGATTAGGCAATAACCTTTTCAAGTGAACATGACCAGTTTATTTTAAACATAAGGGCACTGACCAGTATATAGTTGGGGTCAAAGGAAAAACTGCATATAATTAAAAAGTAATTCACATGTAAATTCAGCTGTTGACAGAAAACACTCTCCTGGTAATTTGTGCCATGAATTTTGGAATCCATGAACAATAATAAACTTTTTTAAAAACAAGTAACTTGTAGTATCTATTCTGAGCATTTTCTTGTTTCCTTGTTAATATTTGAGAGGGAGCTAAATTGGTGTAGGAACACCACAGGGAATGAGAACATACTTAGAAAAATGTTTTTGTTAAATTGTAATTTGATTGCAATCTGACATTCTTATAGTCTAAGATTAAAGTACTGAGGTATAGCATGCTTTGATGGCAATAGGAGGGGGGGCATGGTATTGCTCTGTGTTGGGTGGGAGCAGAAAGTAATTGCTTTTGATTACATACTTGTGAGAAAAAGAAATACTATTAGTCCTTCTCAGCAGTCAAGAAAGTTGTTTTGTATTTTTCTGCAGTCTTGAAGAGAAAGAATTTTTTAAGGCATTCAACCCACAGTTTTGAACACATAATTGGGCTTGGACTTCATTCCATTCATTAATTGGTCTTACTTACCAATCTAAGTTAATAACAAATTTCTTTATAAAATTATGGATTAATGAAAGATTCTTTTAAAACTTATGTTTCAATGTTAGAAAGTTAAAGATAGATTGACTTTGGTGGCCTTCAAGGGAAAAAAACTAATTCACAGATATTTTCTCCATTTTCAAGCTACAGTTTATACACTTATTTTTGTGTCCAATGTGATACAAGTTTTTTTCAGCATTAGTTGCCATTAATTATTTTTCAGTTAACTTGACTGTTTCCTAAATATGTCACATGGTATACAGCATGTTCTGCTCCTAAGGTGTTGATACCAAATTGGCTCATAAGGACACCTCAGAGGTACATTAGTGCTGCACGTGCCTTCATTCAGAAGGCATGTATTAAGGGCCCGTTCTGCTCTAGGCAGTGGACTGGTTAGTCTTGAAGAGCTCAGATCTGTATTGGAGATAGACTGGTGAACACATATATTATGGTAGATTGTTCAACAGAGGTATGCAAATTGAACTCTCACAGGAATTACTCTACCTGTTCATCTTTATGGAAGTGGTCCAGGTCAGAGTACTGTTGTGTAATATATATTTAATTATTGGGGTGCCTGGGTGGCTCAGTGGTTAAGCATCTGCCTTTGGCTCAGGTCATGACCCTGGGGTCTTGGGATCGAGTCCTGAATCAGGCTCCCCACAGGGAGCCTGCTTCTCCCTCTGTCTATGTCTCTGCCTCTTTCTGTGTCTCTCATGAATAAATATATAAAATCTTTAATGTATATATTTAATTATCACAACATACCATATAACAAATACTTAGTGAGCTTAACAGATTCTAGTATATCATTTTACTTTTTAAACGATATTAGTTTTTTTATATACATAAATTTATTTTTTTATTGGTGTTCAATTTGCCAACATATAGAATAACACCCAGTGCTGATCCTGTCAAGTGCCCCCATCAGTGCCAACGATGTTAGTTATTAAATAGGTTTAAATTTCAATTATCTTTCTTTGGTTTCTTTTTCTTTGAAGGTTCATGAATGTTTAGCCTTCACTAATATTCTTTTATATAGTAGTTTTCAAACTTTTGAGGTTATTTAGCCTTATTGCAGCTTGTGTATATGTACATATGCATGTGTGTCTGTGTGCGTGTGTGCACGTGTACGCGCCCATGCGCATGAGCACATACATACTTTGAGGCCTTGATATGGTTGGTATTATATCACCATGTTTTCCTTGTGGAACTCTTGAAACCTGTCCTACAAGTTATGGTTTAATATGGATGAGTATTCACTTAATTATCAGAAACCAAATACTCCTGGTAAATAGATGTTTTGTCATTTAGCCTGAATTGAACAGCACTATATGGATTTTTTTTAATTGAAGGAAGGAAGGAGAGAGAGAAGCTCAAGATGGCTCCACATCGAGCTTGGACACAGGATTCAATCTCACAACCCTGAGATCATGACCTCAGCCAAAATCAAGAGTTGTTTAACCAACTGAGCTACCCAGGAGCCACACCATATGATTTTAATACAAACTTTTGTTACCTTGAATAGTTGAAGAATTTGCACAATGTTTTGCAGAGCTTCTAGCTGCAGCATCATTTCAGTGCAGTTTGCCTATTGGTATTGAGATGCTAGTAGTCAACAGCTATTCATTGTATTTTCTAGTCATAATCCTTTTTGGCCAGAGATAAGGTAAAGGTAATCTAATAATATACAACATATATTTTCTGTAGAGTCCTCTTGCTCTTATCCAGAGATCCAGCCCAGGTTATTTTAACTCCTCTTTTTGTCCACTTAGAGAGGTTCCACTCCAAGGATACCCCCTGGTGTATGTGGTGAAGCTATTAAGAAGAAAAAACAGTTTTAATCTCCCAAATATGATCTAGTTTCTCATGTCTGGGTAAAGAAGGACACCCAGCTGGGTTACATAAATGGTTTATAGGAAAGATTGAAAAAGATTTGAAAAAAAATGTTTTAACCAAGCATTACCTGAGTTGGGGTATGGATTAGGGAGGCATGATCAGAATCCTAGGGGGGAATGAGAATGTAAAGTGGGGAACTGGATGTAACTTTTTAAAATCACATTTTATTTTGGAGTAATTTTAGGTTTATAGAAAAGTTGCAAAGATGGTAGAGAGAATTTCTATATATCTTTCACCCAGCTTTTCCCCTAATGGTAACCATGGTACTTTTGTCACGTCTAAGAAATTAACTTTGGTACAATACCATGAACTGAACTACAACTTTATTTGGACTTTACAAGTTTTTCCACTAAATGCCTTTTTCTGTTCTAAGATCCAAATCAGGATACCACATTGTATTTAGACCATGTGCAATTTGATAAATAGGTGAGCAATAAAAGTTCACCATGTGAACTTTTTCTCTGCCGTGTATGTGGTTCAGGAATCCCCTCTGACCACTGCTGAAGAGAGGAAGTCATTTGACCATGAGAATAGACAATACTGTGTAGGTAGTGTTTTATACCTCCTTAATTCCCAAAACACTGTTAACT